TTTCTAAGACACAAGTCTCCGCCCACTAACACGCCCGAAGCAGGGCTGGTGGCTGAGCTCGAAAAGCTCAAGACCTTGGGATGCTGGCCCGGACGGCCTTTGGGTGCTGTAGACAGAACAGGACACTGCATTCCTTGTGAGGCCCTCCTGTGGCTGGTGCTGGGAGCACCGGGGAACCTAGTGGACAAGTGGGTCAGGGAGGCTGAGCAGGGTTCACCTGATGCTGAGGAGGAGTCCGCCGAGCCCCCCACACCGGGCTCTCAGGACTAGGTGCCCCACCCATGAGAAGCAAGGCTCAGGGAACTCATGCACCCCACCGGTCAGACAGCACACAGCGGGGAGGGACAGAAGATGCAGGCCCCTCCCTCAGCCCCCACACCCACCAGGGCCTCAGACAGACAGACAGGTCACCATGCTCTCTCTCCCTATGATGCTGACTCCATCCCCCAGGCCTGAGAGGTAGCCTTCAGGGACCCCAGGGCCCAGACTTCCCCATGCTCTACAGGGACACAGCTGCACGGTGGGGAGCCGACCCCACTAGTAGTTTGGCACCCGGGCCCTGGTTTTGGTTTTGCTTTTTGCGGCCTTCCAAAGCAGGGGATGCAGGTTCGATCCCCGGTCAGGGAGCTAAGTCCCACATGCCTTGAGGTTTAAAATTTTTTAAAAAATCAAAATATAAAACAGAAAGGATTTCATCCCTGGGTGGAGAAGAATCCCTAGAGAAGGGCATGGCAACCCACTCCAGTATTCTTGCCCGGAGAATTCCATGGACTCTGTCTACAGTCTATGGGATAGCAAAGAGTTGGACATGACTGTGACACTTGCCCACCCCCAGCTGGACACAGGAGGTGCCCTGTAGCCCCCGAGGCAATGCCGAGCATGGAACAGCCTATCCAGGGGTTGGGGTCAGCAGGTACTAGAGGCTTCCAAGAGCTCATGTCTGCAGAGGGTGATGCTTCACCTGTCCCAGGCTCTCTGAAGCTGGCCTGTCTGCTTGTTCCCTCCAGGCTCAGTGCCTCTGCCTCTGGCTGAAGCATGAATGGCCTTGAGGAGGCCTCCCCAGGTATACTGGCCAACTCCTCCCTGGCCCCTGTGGAGCAATGCGGCCAAGAGACACCCCTGGAAAACGTCCTCTTCGCCTCTTTCTACCTCCTGGATTTCATCCTCGCTTCTGTGGGCAACGCCCTGGCCCTGTGGCTCTTCATCCGGGATCACAAGTCCGGCACCCCGGCCAACGTGTTCCTGATGCACCTGGCCGTGGCCGACCTGTCCTGCGTGCTGGCCCTCCCCGCCCGCCTGGTCTACCACCTCTCAGGGAATCACTGGCCCTTTGGGGAGATTCCGTGCCGGCTCACGGGCTTCCTCTTCTACCTCAACATGTATGCCAGCATCTACTTCCTCACCTGCATCAGCGCTGACCGCTTCCTGGCCATCGTGCACCCTGTCAAGTCCCTCAAGCTCCGCAGGCCGCTCCACGCCCACCTGGCCTGCGCCTTCCTCTGGGTAGTGGTGGCTGTGGCCATGGCCCCGCTGCTGGTGAGCCCGCAGACCGTACGGACCAACCACACGGTGGTCTGCCTGCAGCTCTACAGGGAAAAGGCTTCCCAGCACGCCCTGGCGTCCCTGGCCGTGGCCTTCACCTTCCCATTCGTCACCACGGTCACCTGCTACCTGCTGATCATCCGCAGCCTGCGGCAGGGCCCGCGCGTGGAGCGGCGCCTCAAGAACAAGGCGGTGCGCATGATCGCGGCGGTGCTGGCCATCTTCCTGGTCTGCTTCGTGCCGTACCACGTCCACCGCTCCGTCTACGTGCTGCGCTACCGCGGCCAGCGCACCTCGTGCACCGCCCAGCGCGCGCTGGCGCTCGGCAACCGCATCACCTCCTGCCTCACCAGCCTCAATGGCGCGCTGGACCCCGTCATGTACTTCTTCGTGGCTGAGAAGTTCCGCGATGCTCTGCGCAGCCTGTTGTGCGGCAAGCGGCCCCCAGGGTTACCCCCCAGCGCCGACGGCAGGACCAACGAGAGCTCGCTGAGCGCCCGGTCGGAGCTGTAAGCCTGGGCCCCGCCCCCGCCCCAACCCCACAGGGGCCACCCCGCAGACCCACCGAGGAGGAGTCCACCTCCCCTGGGAAAAGAACCGAGACCCCAGCCGGTCACCGTCACCCGCTTCCAGGCCCGAACTCATCACCCAGTGCCGAGTCCCGTCTTGGCTGTCAGCAGCCCCTGGTGAGGCAGCGCCAAAGGGCCCAGACGGCCACTTCTCTGCGGGCACGGGACTGATCCTGCTCATTCACAGCCACTAGACACTCAGTGACTTGGAGCCACAAGGAGGCCAGAGGAACATTCCTGAACAATGATCGTCTTTCTTTCCAAAGTGCCCCCTGCGAGGCTCTTGGCCTCCTTCTCACAACAGAAACACATGGCAGCGAAGCTTGACAGAGAGAACACAGGAGACAGAGGGGAACGGCCTGCCAGAAGGCGGGCACGGGTGGGGGCAGGGCTCGGTGGACAGTCAGAAGGTGTCTAAAGATTTCCTCTCAAGTGCGAGGTGCTTTGAGTTCCCTTTGTGGCACCTTTCCCAAAGGCCCCTGCATTTAGGGGACACAGGCAGTACATGAGAGCCGAACACTGTAAGCACATTTCAGGGTGATCTCCAGGTGACGTCCAGTAACACAGGGCTTGTGGGACACATCAGCTCTCTGTCCCTCCTGGCACACACAGACCTGCATGTGCCGACAATCCCCTGTGCTTCTTGGCAGCTGCCCTGTCCCTTCTGAGTCCTGGGGGAGCACAGACCCTGGGTGGGCCATCACGGGGAGCCCAGCTTTGTCACTGCTGCGTGGGGGGGAGGCACGCAGCCTGGCCCATGAATCTATCTCCCACTAACCCAGACCCAGCAGGGGCAGGATCCTACTCCTCCCCAAGAGGCCTTCACCTGGCTAGCCAAGCTGTGAGGTGTTTTGCTTAGAGGGTGCCCTGTATGCCCCTCATGGGTTCTTTATGTACTTGGTTATACTGATCATAAGGGCTTCCCTGGTGGCTCAGTTGGTAAAGAATCTGCTTGCAATGCAGAAGACTGCCTGCAACATAGGAGACCCGCATTCAATTCCTGGGTCAGGAAGATCCCCTGGAGAAAGAAATGGCAACCCGCTCCAGGATTCTTGCCTGGGAAATCCCATGGACAGAGGAACCTGGTAGGCTACAGTCCAGGTCACAAAGAGTTGGATACAACTGAAGCAACTTGGCATGCATGCATACTGATGATAAACATAACTGTACTTTAATAACTGAAAGTTATTCTCTTTGATTAATGCAACTCCCTCCCCAGAACTTCTCTTCCTTCCAACCCAAGAATGGCAAAGTGGTGGCACAGGCAGCACTGTGGACTGTGCTTCTGCTGGCCCCACAGCCGGCCCACCCCGCACAGACTCTGACGTTCTGCCTTGTGGGTTTCAGAGTGCCGACCTGGGCCGCAGGGTGCCCCACCTGGCTGTCACCACAGTAATACTTTATTTTCCTGAACAAGTCCAGCCTTTTCTGGACTTTTCCAGCAAACACTAGAGCAGGAGTCCCTGCGTGAGCTGCAGCTTAGGCCCACACCTGGCAGGTGACCTCAGGGAGCAGTTCGGGACCCCTGCTGCACTGTCTGCCCCCCATGGCCCCTCATATCAGCACTCAACACTCAGGCACCTAGTGCAAGGAGCACCCTGCAGACACCAGGATGAACAGCACACGTCTCTGCTGGAGAAGACAGACGGACAAGGTCACTACAGCAGCGTTAGGAAGTGGGGCTCCGAGAGAGCCAGAGATGGTGACCAGCGCCCAGACAGGGGAGCAAGCCGGGGGCAGACAGACAACTGAGGTGTTGCTAACGAGGCAGGTGTGTGCTTCCGTGAGGCCTGACTGCCAGCAGAGGAGAAACTCAAAGTTGGCTGGTTGGGTTCTGTGGCATTTGGGATGCCTGCCAGACACTGTGGAGATGGCATGTGGGCAATGGGGTATTCCGAGGGAGAGGTCTAGGGTGGAGGCCTACATCTGGATTGCCCAGCAGAGACCCGCCATTTGGGCCAAATGCAAAGCCCCAAAGGAGCCCGCCATAGAGAGACGGGTGGAGGAAGGGGAACGGAGCCAGGAGAGGGACAGCACAGCCATGAGGCACGAAACCACCAGAACATGGGTTCCTGGGCACCGGGAGAGAAGCAGGAGTGGCAGTGAAGGCTGCGGGAGCCCTGAGCAGCTTGGGCAGTGGGGAGTAGATGGAGGAACCGGCTGGGTGCTGGGAAGGGCTGCAGGGAGTCACCGTGGAGCGAAGGCTGACAGGGTGCTTTGAACCAGGGGGCCACCACGCCTGAGCCATTAGAAATGGACCAGCGAGGTCCAGAGCTGTGAGCCCTGCTGGAGGAGCAGGGAGTGAGCAGGGCTTTGGATGCAGGGACACAGCCCCTGCTGTGACAAGGGAGGGGAGCACAGGTGCAGGGCAGGGGAGGTCAGGGCAAGGGAGGGGGAAGGGAGGTCCTGGCTGTGGGGGTGAGGGAACAGTGAGGGGCAGGGAGGGGGAGGAGAAAAGAGCAGGTCTTCGTGGAAGGTGACAGCTTAGCCTGCTAAGGGAGCCCGGGTCTGAATTTTGGAGCACCCTTGGGTCCCAGCTGAGTGCTTTCCCCCAGCAGCACACGTGGGGTCTGAGGACAGGGGGGACAGCTGCAGCCTGGGTGGCCAGGCAGGCAGGAGCCTAACTCACAGCTCCTCATCCTCACATTGCACCAGCAGCTCCCACTTTGGCCCCCTGCCTCCTGGCTGTCTACCATCAGCCTGCTCCCAAGACCAGCCCTGAGCCTGGGGTGGCCCCGATTCCTCACCCCTCACTCTCCAGCCCCCATCCTCACCCGTAAACCGGACAGAGTTCTCCTGCCCGCCTCGCAGGGATGGCAGGGGTGGCAGCCCCACTGGCAGCCCGAGTTTCCTGGACCAGGCCTGGGCCTGTGGTGAGGCCCATCTCACCTGCCTGCATTCTTCACAAAGCCCAGGTCAGCCAGCTCCACGTCGCACAGCTCACAGCGGAAGCATCCAGGGTGCCAGTTGTTGTTCATGGCCTTGATGACGCGGCCAATGATGAATTCGCCTGCAGGAGAGAGGTCCTGCTGGCCTTGTGCCCTCCCCCTCCAGAGTTCCTCCACACTGGAGCCCACCTGGCTCTGCCTGGCCCCAGGGCGCCCTCCCCAGAGCTTGGGAAGGTGATGAGCACAGGGGTCCGAAGGCCACTGCTCTGAGAGACAGGGCTCCCTACTCTCCCATCCCTGCTTCCCAGGCATCATGGAAGCCTTACCGCAGGACCCGCAGCATGGAGCAAACAGCATCTGGAAGTCATGCTCGCAGTACTTCCGACCTTCGAACTGCAAATGGGGCCAGCAGAGAAAGGCAAGGAAGGCACTGTCATCCTCTGAGCTGCGCTGGTCGGTGGGGTGAGGACCTGCCCTCGGGGAGGCTGGACAAGCACTTTGTATACCTGCTTTGTATACCTGCTGTGTATACCTGCTTTGTATACCTGCTGTGTATACCTGCTTTGTATACCTGCTTTGTATACCCTGCTTTGTATACCCTGCTTTGTATACCTGCTTTGTATACCTGCTGTGTATACCCTGCTTTGTATACCTGATACCACCACAGGAAGCATGGGTGGGGGACTTCCTGGAGGAGGTGATAAGGAGTGGAAAGATGGAACGGGATGGGGGTCCTCAGAGGAGGGATTTCCACCTGGGAGCAGTCAGCGCAAGGCCTGAGGGCAGGACGGGATTGCCGTGTCTGACTTGGGGAGAGTGCAGAGTGAGGGACCTCGAGGAAGCTGGCAACTCGGCAAGGCTGGCCCCTCAAAGGGCCACTGCTGTTTGCTGAAGATCTTGGCCTTATTGGTCCCAGGGGCAGGCTTAGGGCTCGGGGTGGATGTTAATGCCAGGAAGCCCAGGGATCAAGGTTGAATTCTGTGTGTCCCTTGGCCCTGTTTCGTGTGTGAGAGGTCCACTCCCCCAGGGGCCACAAAAGATCTAGGGAAGGGACCCAGAAGAAGAGGCACAGGAATGGGGTGCAACAGAGCACCCCAAGTCCTGCATGATGTCCCCATCTGTCTGGGCAAGGAGGACCCTTGCACTGGCCCCAAGTATGGCCAACATGTACCTCTGCCTTCTCCTCCCTTGACGATTTTATCTGGTTTGCCCCTGTTCCCTAAGAGTGTCTTATTAAGCTGCAACAGGCTAGAGCCCTATCCAGCAGGGGCAGCAGGAATTTAAATCATAATAGGCACATCCACAGAGCCCTGTACCACTCCACCCCTTCACCCCACCTCCACCACTGGCCAGCAATCCTCAGGAGGCGCCGTGGGGAACAGCAGCTCCTGTTCAGTCAGGCAGATCACACACCTCCCAGCCGTCTGTCAGCCAATCCCCTCAGCTTCACAATCTAGCCAGCCTCTGAGCATTGCCATGTGTGCCCTGAGGCAGCCTGGCAGCATTTGCCAATTTCTGTGGTGTAAATATTCCCACCGTGGTCAATTTGAAGCTACCAAAATGACGCTGACGTGGAATTGAGAAGAGATGTCAGCAGCCACCACAGTACTGCGTTTCCAGCACACAAACACAGTAACAGGTAGTGAAATGGAATAAAACAATTAGGAAGTGATGAGTTTTGAGTATCTGCTACTTTTATCTCATTGTATGTATACATCATTCAACTTTTAATAATGACTGTATTTAGCAACCAGCCTGCAGGATCGCTGAAAATTTAACAGTCTGCTCTTGGGACCGAGGGCAGCTCAGCCTTTCCCTTCCATCTGGATTACCAAAGAAATAACTGGTCCTACCTGTTCTCCTAGCTTCTGTCCCCACCCCTGCACAGTCTCTCCTCCACATAGCAACCAGAGAGGCCCTTTTCTAGTGTCATACAGACAGTGTGGGTCCTGCCCCTCGCAGGATGAAGCCTAAGGCCCCAGGAAGGCCCGCAGAGTTAAACAATTCTGCCTGCACTCCCTCATCTTCTGCCGCCCCCTCTCATTTCCTCTGCTTCCATCACACCAGCCTCCTACTGCTCCAAAACCCACACCCCCCAACCTCAGGGCCTTTGCGCTTGCTGTCCCCTCTGCTGAGATCTCTTCCTGCAGGTACACACATGCTCCCTCACCTCATTCAGGTCTGCTCAAACGTCACCTCCCTGCTCAGGCCCGCCCCCCAACCCCCAGGATTCCTTATAACCTGAGCACTTAGCAGCATCAGGTATATGTTGGTTATGTTTACTGTCTGACCTCGGGGTCTCCCAGAGATGACAGGATGAACAGTGACTCCTCCAGCAGCACACACACCAGGAGAGCACTGTTCACAGAGGTGAGGGCTGGGGCCCCGCGGGGTGGCCAGCAAGGTTCTGGGCTGGCAGGAGCACCACTCGGCCCAAGGTCTGGCACGTCTGCCAGTCCGTCACTGGAGGACCATGGCCAGGCGAGGCCTGCAGGCTGCCAGAGGGCAAACCCCGAGCTGGGCCAGGGGCTTGGGCTCCGGGAAGCAGAGGCAAGGGTCAGGGAGCACGCTCACCTCGTAGAAGAGCCCCTCGGGGAAGGGCCGGAAGCACTGGGCGCACACGAAGCAGTGCTCGTGGTACAGCTCTCCGTTGCTGTTGACGATCCGCTCGGCAGGGGCGAAGCGCGCCTGGCAGCGCTGGCACACGGCATTGGCCAAGGCGCTGGACATGTTACTGAGCAGGAGAAAGGAACAGAGGTCAGGACCCGCGGGCCGCACTCGAGGGACACACCTTCTGGGGCGAAGCACAGCACCATCCTCACCCCAGGCTGGCCTTGGCACCGTGGAGACTCAACATGCAGTCGGCCCACGTTGCCCCACACCAGCTTGGGTCACCCCGTGTGGCTGTCACCCACCCCCGTGGCCACCGTGTGCCAAGGACACGCCAGGTGCCAGTGTGTGCCAAGACGCAGTGGCCTTCCCAGATGACACCCCTGCGAGCCCCGCACAGCGTCTCCAGCTCACAGACGGACAGGCAGAGGCCTGGAGAGAGTGACCCCCCGAGGGCCACAGTGGGCAGAGGCAAAGCCGAGATTAAAACTAGTCCCTCACCCTGGAGCCCCGTCTCTCCCCATACCCTGCAGCCCCCAGTGCCCTCTATGGAGGGTCAGGCACAGGGCAGGCCATTGCTGGGCTCATGCCGGTCAGAGCAGTCAGAGCTCCAGTCCAGGCCCTCACTCGTGGTGCAGCAGGGGCTGGCCCGGGCTCTCTAAGCCCAGGTGCCCAGCCAGAGAAGGACCCTAATCATGGCCATGACCGTGTATTCTGGCCTTTAGATGACAGACACACAAGCTCTCTGCAGGGTGCGCGGCCCACTGGAGGCTTGCAAAGGACAGTGTTGTGGTTGTCATTGTCACTGACCTGGCCCCCAAGCTACTCAGTCATGGTGCTGGGCCATCTCTCAAGGCAGCAGGGACACCCGGGAACCCTCCTGTGCCTCCTGTCTCCCACTCAGGGAACCAGAGTGTCTCGGGTAAAGAGCATCATCCAGGCACAGGGGAGCAGCTTGGGATTCACACACTTATTTCATCCCTGAGGCCACCCTGCTTTTCTAAGGCTCAGAGAGATTGAGTAACTTGAGCAAACTCACAGAGCAGATGACAAAGACCCAAATGTGAACTCCGGCTGAACCCATTGCAATGGCTCTTTCCCCTGCGCCACGAGTTAGATTCATCCCTGCCCCACCCCCCTCCAAACACAAAACCACCCTACCAGGGAGAAGGTGAGACTGTAAATATTTGGGAATGGGAGCAGGATGGGGAATGACCCTCCTCATCCATGTGGGCAACTGCTGTCCCTGGGGCAAGTGATGGCTGTCCTCATGGGAGGCGTGAAAGCCAAACTGAACTCCAGGGGAAATCGCCACAGAGACACATGCTGGCTCCAGCCGAGGGCCTCGGCTCAGACAGGAGGAGGAACCTGGCAGTCAGCCACAAGAGCCTCTCTACAAATTCCCAGCACCCTAATGCCCATGACCTTGACTGCAAGGCGGCAAACAGACTCTGTCTCTTGTCAACTCAGGTGGATTGTTGGTGGCTGCCGGGAAGGGTGGGCACAGAAGGGAGGGCAGGCTCAGCAAGGAGAGACGCAACCAAGCGGCCGTGTCACACAGACCCGCGCAGTGGCACACAGCCCATCTCTGGAGGACGTCTTTCCAGCCGGCTCCGCCTCCCGCCCTGCTGAACCCCACCCTTCTCTCAGGGCTACAGCACTCTGAGAAGTCTCAAGTGATACTGCTTGTGCTGGAGTCCCCAGGCGGGAGGAGCCCGGAGGCGGGTGAGGGCTCTGCCTCTCAGGTGTAGACTGTGGACAGTGGGTCCAGCAAAAGGTGGCTGCCACAGACACAAGGGGAGCTGGGCTGGGGCATCCAGGCAGAACTTCCTCTCTGCTCTGCCAGAGGGACCCTCACGGCAGGAGAAGGGCCAGAAGGCTCTTCAGCAAGCCCTGTCAGGCAAGCAGACCTCCGCCTGCCCTCAGGTATAGCTGGGGGACCAAAACCACCTCCCACGTCCACATTTAGGCCAAAGGGGCGAGGAAGCAGGACAGAGGCAGGAGGGCCTGGGCAGAGCCCAGGTCGACAGGGAGGCTCCGCGCGCAGCGGCCACCACCTTCCTTTCTGGCTCACCGCTGGTCGCCATGCAGAGGAACAGACAGGGCACGGACTGATCAGCCAGGCCCCCAGGAGCTAGGCTGGACTCTGTCAGCTCAGGCACAGCTTCCTGTCCCAAGGACACCGTGAACCTGGAGGCCTTGCCTTCCCAAAACATACACCCAAGGTAGCTGGGAGGAAGTTCCAATGCCTGGCCATGAACACGACCTTGGCGGATCTTGGAGAAGTCAGAAATCAACAGGAAATCCTGTGACTCTGGGCCTGGAATTCCCCACCCAAAGAACTCAGAAAATGCAACCAAAACATGTATTCAAGTCCAGCCCCCGGCTTTCAGATTGTTCCAGACATCTGGACCCTGACCAAGTGAGTGCGCAGCAGGCCCATCACAAGTTTTCCCCTACAGAGCCCGGGCCTTGCCCCAGGGCAGACATTCGGAGACAGCATCTCCACATGATGGGCACAGCAGCTAGCCCCTAAGAGAGCGGCTGGCTTTGCACTGTGCCTGGGTCTACCCTGGCTGGGGCCCTAGGAGGCCCAGGTCAACAATTTTGCCGTCTGTCCCCTACACGCCTCTCAGGTAGATGGGGCATGGGGGAGACCACCTACCTCCCGCCCCGCTGGTTGCCCCAGACTTCTATGTCTGCATCCCCACAGTCCTTGCTTGGGAAGAAAGCACTCCAACCCACTGACCAAAGACGGGGGATGAACAGACAAGCCCATGTGCCCTATAACTGGATCACAGCCCCATCAGAGACGATGCCAGCTGTCCCCTGCAGGAGGCAGTCGCTCCGAGCTCAACCCCATGTGTTTAAATCCTGACAGCTTTAGCCACCAGTTGTGCCCCTGGAGAAAGGTATCAGCTCCCTGCGGTCTCGTTTCCTCATCCGCGAGGAGGTAGCCAGAGAAGCAGGAACTGCCCCTCAGAACTGAAGTAAAGAACTTGCTGCCTACAGAAGACAGCATGCGGAGCACAGGGCCAGGCAGGCCAAGCGCTGGATGAAAGAGCTGTTGTTTCCAGCAGCCCAGGGACCTCCCTCCCAGCCCAGCAGTGCTCCCTGCAAGACGGCAAAGGAGGGAGGCAGGCATTCCATGTCCTCCTTCACATTCTGCCTGAGAGCGGGGAGCACAGTCTGCTCAGATAACATCAGGGAGACACCACCGCCCCACCAGCACCTAGGAGCCAACCCCCTTGCTCGGGGCAGGGTGCAGGGGGCAGGCGTGGAGACTCACCCACAGATGTGCACACTGCCTAAGACGAGCTGGGGCAGCCAGTGGGGCCAGAGGTAGGTGCTCACCCCACCCTGTCCCCCTCTCCAACGCTCCCCAGCGTCCCCAAACACTTTCAGTCTTATACCCAACATAAAAGAATTTGATGCAAGACATCTGGAGCTCTAGCCTAGGGTGTGGTGGGCGGAGTCCTTTCTGAGCCAGGTCCTCATGAGAGGAGGTTGCTGGTTCCAGATAAGGAAAGTGACCTACCAAGAGGGTCAGAAACCTGCTTAGGTCACACGGGATTGGATCTGTGCTCTCTTGTCCCCTCAGCTCCTGGTGGCATCATGCAGGCATGACCATTCAAAACTCTGTTTTTCCTACAACCTCAGACGAACCTCGATTGCAGCCTCCCACCCACCCAACCCTAGGAAGCCAGCGAAAGGGCCTGGGCACAGCCAGGGCCAGCCATAGGGGACTTTCCATACTCAAGGGTGAGTCAGTGTTGGTGAGGCCAGGTCACAAGCCAGAAACTCAAGGCAATAGGAAGTTGAGGTTAGCATATGAACATGCGTGCATGCATGCATGTGCGGGCCATTCCTGATGCCTGATCTTCACGATCAGCCCTGTCCTCCTTGCCTCTAGACCAAGTTCTTGTGCTGCATTCATACTATGAAACCAGCCTCCACAAAGGCCTCTGGCCCATCAGCGCCCTGTCACCCACTCCCTGCCCCATGGCTCCCTCCACTCACATCTAGGGTCATCCAGAGACCAACCAGTGAGGGTTCCTGTTCACTCGGGGACATCACTTGGCCTCCCAAGCCCTGAGTTCCCACCGGAGCAGTGGGCTTATCCAGTTCCTGCCCTGGTGTGGCCCTTGGTGAGAGCCCTGCGACACTGGTGCTGACACAAGAACGGCTGCAGCAGGAGTCGCACGGGTGCATCTGTGCAGCCTCTGCTTCCCACGCCCCACGCGACCGCCTCCCGCTTGCCGCATTCTCACTCCCGGATGTCTCTGAGGGCTCAGTCCCCTCCCACGCACCCCCAAGTGCTCTGTTGTCACCGCTGAGCATCAGCCTCTAAACCTCCTCTTCTCCCCGGGTCCTCCAGGTACCCCACCTCTGTTACTGCTGCTCTGCCTCATCCCTAAATCCCTACCCCCTTCCTCCCAACTTTCAAGTCCTCCCCCACACTCTGCACCCACACCCCAGGGCTCCCACCTGCTGCTTTGATGCAAAAGACAACAAACCCACAGCCCCCACTGCTCTCTTGCCCCAATTTCTAGCAGATCTTTCCACCCAGATGGCCCCTGAGATGCTGCAAAATCAAGGAGTCCAGGACCCGCTCCCCCAGCCCCACTCTCACTCGGAGGGCTCCACTATCTATGTGCCCTTCAGACTCTCTCCACCCCAGATTAACTCATCCTCAGAGACACCTTGAGGTCCATCCTGAGCCCCAGAGGCTCCCCCTCCCAATCTCAAAGGAAGCGTTCATCATTGGTCTAGCCCAGCATTTCTCCCCAGGATAGAGCAGTTCAGGCTTTTGAGTCAGTCCAACCTGGCTTCAAGTCACTGCTTAGCCCCTTTTATAGATGAGTGATGTCCAGCAGGTTCCTTGACCGCTCAGTTCCATCCGCTAGAAAGCAGCCAAAAAGTTTGGAGGAGCCTGAAAGCGGTAGTGGCGGTTACTTCGACAACTTATCTGAGCGCCCCATCCTCAGCGCCCTGCCCAAGAGTGCTGATCCCAGATCAGTAACCCCGGCTGGATGAAGCCGCGCCTCGCCCCCACTCTGACCGCCAAGCCAGGCGCTGTCCCCACGCCCCGGGCTGCGGGCAGCCGGGCGGCCGCCGTCGGAA